TACTTTTTAGGTTGTTTGTGATCCGTGGCAAGTGGTACCAGCTGCCTACTTGGCATGTTTTGTGTTATGAGAAAATACTGAACACCTGTTTGTTAATAATGATCACCTGTTCAGAGAAAATAAATGCTAGGGTCAGAGTCCACTCATCCACTCGGGGCCTTCAGCCTGGAATGCTGAGAGCCTCTGAGGCTCTCAGCTTGGAAGGCTACTGCCCGCCCCAGCCAATAGACCAACTTTGTTGTTCTATCTGGGTGTCTGCCTCTCATTTCCTTCAGTGCCACCTGGGTGGGGGTCTCTATGGCTGAGCTGGTACTCAGAACCTAATGGTGGGGATTTGGAGTTCCTTCTCTGCGTTATTTGATTCTTTCTTTTCTTTTCTTTTTTTTTTTGAGACAGAGTCTCCCCCTGTCGCCTAGGCTGGAGCGCAGTGGCGCAATCTTGGCTCACTGCAACCTCTGCTTCCTGAGTTAAAGTGATTCTCATGCCTCAGCCTCCTGAGTAGCTGGGATTACAGGCACGCACCACCACACCTAGTAATATTTGTATTTTTAGTAGAGGGGGGTTTCACCATGTTGGCCAGGCTCAAACTCTTGACTTCAAGTGATCTACCTGCCTTGGCCTCCCAAAGTGCTGGGATTATAGACATGAGCCATCATTCCCAGCTAACAGTTATTTATTTATCAAAGATACTCAGTTAGTGGATATGATGGTTAATTTTCTGTCAATTTGATTGGGCCATCAGGTGCCCAGATGCTTGGTCAAACATGATTCTGGGCGTTTCTGTGAGGGGGGTTTTGGATGAGGTTAACATGTGAATCAGTAGACTGAGTAAAGCAGGTTGCCTTCCCTAATGTGGGTGGACCTCATCCAATCAGCTGAAGGCCTGAATAGAACAAAAAGGTTGACACTTCCTGTAGTAAAGGAGAACCCCTCCTGCCTGACTCCTTTTGAACTGGGACATCAGCTTTTTCCCGCCTTTGGACTTGAGGACTTGAACTGAAACACAGTCTCTTAGTTCTCCGGTCTGATGGCTTTCTTGTGGAATCTACACCATTAGCTCTCCTGGATCTCCAGCTTGCCGACTTACCCCGCAGATCTTGGGACTTCTCAGCCTCTATAATCATGTGAGCCAATTCCTTTTTTTTTTTCCAGCCAATTACTTATTAGCTATCTATCTATTTATTTATCTGTCTATCCATCCATTCATCCTAGTGGTTCTATTTCTCTGGAAAACCCTAATACAATAGACATAAACTAATGTCAACTAATTAAACTACTCCAAAAGGCCCCTATTGCTTCTCCAAGAAAATCCCCTTTTGAAATGCTTGGCTATACAGAATTCAAACAGGATCGTGGATTTTTATTAGTCAGAGAGAAATCGAGTTCAATATTGAAAAGCATTTCAGTGCTGTGATACTAAATTTCTGGAAGATAGGCACTATGCTAGTTTTGCTTTATCGTTTTCATAGAGAATCATATATAAATTTTTTTAAATGAAACAACATTGTTTGATGCTGATGATAAGAATAATGATAACCAGTAGGTCTTTGTAAGCTAGTGTTGTCATGATAATGCAAACAAGGTAATATCTAGAGCAACTGGGAGGGATAGAATTTATTGGCGGAAGTCCACTCTGAAGGATGCTCCTTTTGTCTTGCTGATACTACAAAGAGGTGGGCTTCTATACTCAGCACTGACTGTGAGGCCAGCTTTGTATCTCTGCTCTGCACCTCTACCCTAGTGTTCTTTTCTGCCCTCTCATGCTCCTTTCTGGCATCAGTGCTGAACACAAGCCTTCTCTGCCTCTCAACTCCACCTCACCATTGTCCTGTTTTCCTCCATCCAATAAGGAAGGAGGGCGGAGCTGTGCTCTCCCTGGCAGCCAGCATCTTGGGGCTTGCTTCAGGCTCCACCTCCCACCATCCACCACCCGCTGAGGACTACACAGCTCTCACCCAGATGCTGTTTTTCCATCCTAGGAGCTGACCTCATTGTCCCTGGGGCTGGAGCCATCTATAAGGCGACCTTGCCAAGTTGGGAGTTTATGGTAGTTTTGCGTTTCTGGCACAGAAGGAGTCAGCCTGTCCCATTGTCTTTTGTCATAAATAAGGTATTAGCAACCACCTTTTCTCTCCTCTCCTCTGCATATGAACATGGCTGAAAACACAGAAGTGCGACTTGTATGTCACACATGGATATAGATTCGCTAGTTTAGGAGCCTGGCTGCTGTTTATGGAAATTGCCAGCATACAGTTCTGCTTCCTGTTCTTTCAGACCAGTATGACATCTGGCTCAGTTGAGCCTCTGTCATGGGTTGCCACACAAACATTGTCTGGTGTTGTCATTTCCTGGCAGTGAACAACTATTCCACATTGCCTCAAGATGCCCTCACAGTGTCCCTCTCATGGCAGCAGAACCAGTCCTCAAAAGGCAAATGTGTGGCTGGAGCATTGTTGTGGAGAAAATAGGCAGGAACAAAGCCAGTGTGGTTTACTGGAAAGCACACCAAATACAGTCCTAGGAACATGGCTACACTCTGTTGACAGTAGAGGAACTGGCGCCCCTCCCACTCACCATTTAGTTGTGACAACCATTCACGTATCTTCCTGTGCCTTCCCTACCTGACACCATGAGGTGGGGAAGGTGGCAGCAGTTGGCTCTTCTCTTCCATAATCACTGACTAGCCCTGCCACATAGCACTGTCAGCTGGACACATCCACACACCCTTAGTAACCCAGCTAATAGCTGTCTTTCTAGATTTTGTTTTTTGCACTGATGTGCAGTGTATTCTTGGCCATAGCCCCAACTTTGCATGCTTTAATTTCCCCATTCTTTAAAGGAATTTAATAGTGAGCAACCCAAGTTAAATTCTGCATCCTTAGAACAGATTGTGTTATATCAGTGAAAAATGTACTTCATCGTAGGTACAGTGAGAATAATTAATTTAACTTACTACCTTAGTAATCCGTCAAGTAGCCAACTAATATTTACTTAATGTCTGTTCTGTACATGTCATGGTACTACAGGCTCATTTTGAAGTTTTAACAACAAATTATATATTGCTCGGAAATTTGTGTCTTTAAAAAGCTAAAAACAATAGTTATTTCATATTTTAAATGACAAATACCTATTCAGTATTTGGGACTTTTTAAATAACAGAAATTTAAATACAACAGAGGGATAAAAAGAGAAAAATTCCCTTCAAACATCAGGTTTTATGAGGACTAGATATAATGTTAGTAATAAATGATGTGGAGTTTCCTTACTGGAAAATACTACTTAGGCCAGGCGCCGAAGCTCATGCCTGTACTCCCACCACTTTGGGAGGCTGAGGCAGGAGGATCTCTTGAGCCCAAGAATTCGAGACCGGCCTGGGCAACTTAGTGAAAACCTGTCTCTACAAAAAATTTAAAAATCGGCCAGGTGTGGTGGTATGCACCTGTAGTTTCAACTACTCTGGAGGCTGAGATCGCTTGAGCCCAGTTCAAGGCTGCATGTGCTACGGCGGCACCACTGCACTCCAGCCGAGGTGGCAGAGTGTGTGTCTCAAAAAAGAAGAAAAAAAAAAGACTATAATCATTCCATACAGAATACAAAACATTACCCTGACACAAAAATGTTATAGAAACCCTAACTGATCTTCACATGGTTACTTGTGGGATCTCAGACCTTTCAAATAGTCATTGAAAATTTTAATTTATTAGAAACAGTCATTTTTGATCCCCAGAAGGAAGAAATCACAAATAAAAAAAGAAGAGGCTTAAGGCTCAGATCTGTAGATTACTTGTTGAGGAACCCGAGGGCAGACAGCTGGGGAGGCGACTGCAGACTGACTTGAGGTTTCTGGAGTTAGGGCTGCTTACATGTACCTGGTGAGACACCTTCAAGCTCCACGGTCGCCTCAGCACTACCTTTCCGAAAGACTGCCTTCTAGGTACAACGTGTCTTTATTAATTTTTGTAACTTTTCTTTATCTATGGGCATCCCCATGGGGGCCCTTTCTCTCCCCAACTTTCCCTTGTGTGTGAAATAACGACAACATAATCTGTAACTTCCCAGGCCTTGAAAATTCCATTTCCGCACATACTGCTACGGCTAAAAGATTTCTGAATTTTGTGTTGCTATCCCCTCAGCAAGGAGTTTCATTTGCCAAGCATTATAAAGGCAGAGAAAGCAATTCTGTGGGCCGATACCTTTGCGTTTAGGAGGCACAGATATCTCTTGATAATCTTCCTCTCTTCACATTGGTGGCTTTTGAATTGTTCAGCGTTTTAGAAATACCGTAATCTCAGCCTATTAAATATTAAGAGACTCCTTCGGATTCCTTGAGCCTTAAAGTTATGTTATGCAAATCTGTCCGAGTGTGTTTCCATGGTGCAGAATAAAAGTTATGGTAGGGTTTTTTGAAGCAGCAGGACTGTAAGCGTCACTCCTGTCACTGCCTTTCACAAGAGCCCACTTGCTGTGAAATATTTGAAAACAGAGCTGAAGTGGAGATAACGCAGAGCACAAACAGGCGGAAATAAGAATAAACCGTGCGTGGCTAACAGAAACCCGGAGGCTGGCTGTTTCTGGAGAAGAGAACGCTCTGTAAACCTGGAGGAAAAACCACGCGGGCCATTGTTTGGAGGCCTCTTGGGGGTCGTTTCCTTGCCCCCTCGGGTTGGGGGGGCTCCTCCAGGCCAAGGAAGCGGCCCCCCAAAACCTCTTCCGGGACTGCAGCATTCTCTCCCCACATCCCCAGGGAGCAGGGCCTTCTCGGGCCACAATTCTCCGCGACCCAAAAATAACTACACAGATGTGAGGAAAAGGGCCAAAGCCTACGGCACAGGGCGGTGCTTAATTACAGCCTTATCGCTTTCAGCCAGAACGCTCGAAACCTAACCTAGCGCCAGCCTTTTATAGCCGGTCCCTCGAGCCCCGCCCTAGCAACTTCTCCTAGCAACGCCTCGCCCGGTGCTGGGCCGTCTTATCGGTCTCCGCCAGGCCTTTCCTGTTCCCTTCCCCCAGTCCCCGCCGCCCGGCCGCGCGGCTCACGTGACCGGCCCCAGGGGAGGGGAAGGGTGAACGAAGCGTGAAGGGGCGGGGCACTGGAAGACGCGGTATGCATCATCAAGATGCGCCGGGCGAGTTGCGGCGCCTGGTGTCTCAGGGAGGCTGAAGGTTCGGAGATTCAGTAACATGGCGGAGGCCGCGGCAGTTGTGTGGATTCGCGGCCCCGGCTTTGGGTGCAAGGCGGTACGGTGTGCCTCGGCTCGGTCCACCGTCTGGGATTTTATCCACCGGCACTGCCAAGATCAGGTGAGGATTTCGGTTGCTGTTAGGACGGAGAAAGAGGCAAACAAGTAGTAGGGCTGGGTACGGAGTAGGTCTGCCAAGGGGGTATGTCTGTTTTCTGGGAGTTTCACTTGTTAAGGCTGAGAGTTCCTTAGTATTAAGGTGCTTCGAACTGTTACTGAGATCTTTCTTTGCTTTCGTTTTGTGGTGGTGGTTGTTTTGTCTCCCCACCAAGAGGGAGAAAAAAAAACCTGTTACAGGCACTTAGTCCCGCCCACAGTTAGAAATGCTTTGTTTCTTTCTTTATCCGTAAATCTGATGGTTTTCTGGAGTTGGGCCAGCTGATTTTTAAGGCTCAAGTCTTCACCTTCTTACGATGGTTATGTGACGTGTATTTTGTCCACTAATCACACAGCCTTGTTAGCTCCAGCCTAGAGAAATATGTATATCCAAACCCAGGACAAAGTATTACTGGGGAGGAAAACTGATTCTTTTGGTCACTGGTAGTGGCCAAGCATTCACACGTGTGGCCTGTTGAGGGCCTGAGTTCTTAGGGCCTGTTATGTAGAAGTGTTCACTAATCATTTGATGGTCTCATTTGTCCATGCGTATTCATGAAAACATATCAGGGACTTTCAAAGTTACACAGGGGCTTTTACTTAACTCTCAAGTAAGCTCTTACCAGGTGTAAGATATTAAACCTGTTCAGTTGTCAAAAGAATTTAGTGGTTTCCCTGAATCTAATTTTAATTTTGGCACTTGATCTAGAACTCTGTTCTTTCCGCACCTCATCCGTGCTTTCCTCGGCTATTTCCTCTGCTTGCTATTTATAAGCTTAACAAATGTTAACACTGCAATCTAAACCAAAATTTTAAGAGATTTGGATCGATTCCGTGAAGAAGCAATGTGTGTTTGCAAACAATACGGTTTTTCACTTTCTGTTTTCTTTCCTGCTCTGTAATCCAGTCTAAAAACTGTAAGCACAACTGTTTTTGAGCATGAAAATAATTGTATTCTAATTCCTTTGAAAATAACTCTTACTTCATGAGTACAGCGTTCAAACTTGCTGACAATTGATCCAAAGTGAAACCAGAAAAATTAGGATCTTAATCATGAGGTGTGTTGGAAATAAGAATTTAAAAATCAGAAGCAAGAAATATGGGTTCAGTGGCTCATGCCTGTAATCCCAGCATTTTGGGAGGTCGAGGAGGGTGGATCACCTGAGGTCAGAAGTTTGAGACCAGTTGGCCAACATGGTGAAACACTGTCTCTACTAAAAATACACAAAAATTAGCCAGGTGTGGCAGCAGACACCTGTAATCCCAGCTGCTTGGGAGGTTGAGGCAGGAAAATCGTTTGAACCTGAGAGGCTGCAGTGAGCTGAGATTGCACTATTGCACTCCAGCCTGGGTGACAGAGCAAGACTCCTTCTAAAAAATATATATATGTACACACACGTATGTGTACATGTGCATGCATCTACACGTGTACATGTGTGCATGCACACATGTGCATGCACACACATACACGTGCACACATGTGCATGTACATACACGTACACACATACCTGCACACACGCACACGTGTGCAGACACGTGTACGCATGCACACGTACATGCGCGTGTGCGTATTGTGCATGTGTACATGCACATATACGTGTACACATGTACGTGTACATATACGTGTACATATGTGAGTGGATTCAGAAACTTAAGAAACATGACCATAGCAAATAAGAATAGAAACACAAAAGCGTATTTGATGAGATACTGGAACAAATAAGAATAGCTCAAGTTCACACCTAATGCTTTTAAAAGCAAAACTATTCCGACACATGATGAAGTTAGTGTTAACTCCCACTGAGAAAATAAAAATCTGCCCTGCTTTTCATCAGGTTGGGATAAGAGACACAGATAAAGCCAGCTGCAAAATGTTTTGTTTCTCTTTTTGTTTCCCCACACCTACACTGATGTACAGTGGCAGAGTTAACAGCAAATGGTAACATGTCATAATGACCCCTATGAAGGTCTGCTGCTTTCTTATTGACTGAGAAACCTTGGTCTCAGAAATCATAGACTAAGAAACTTTGCTGTTTGAAATTCTCTCAATAAGAGTGAATCCTCTTGCCTTGTAGAGGCAAGCATTCTTGATTTCCAACCCAAGTCAGAGCTTCCCATTAAGGATTTCTGGATACAATTTTCCACATTTATCTTAAATTTGTAGTTTCCAAGGAAAGAGGAGCCTTCACAATATGAATCTGATGTTGACAGTTCTATATACAGTCCTGCTTTATTTTGAGGCTGTTTAAACACTACTTGATGTAAATTTCACCTCAACTCCACCCTATCCCCAAATCTGATAATGACACTTCTTTCTTTGTGTTGGTTAGATACCCAAGACTCCTGGTGTGCAGTTCCCTTCCTTGCAGTGAATCCATAAGTTTGACAGGTTTATTTCTGATCGCCTTACACTGATTGTGCTAAAATACACATGGTACTTCGTTTTGAAGCACTTTACAATGCACAAATGGTTAAAAACAGTTAAATGAGTCTAAGTTTATCCTTTTTCTGCTTGTGACTTCATCAGATCTTAAGTAGAAAATGCAATTTTGTTGATCAGTTTTGTTAAATAAGCCATCCTGTTTGGAAATGAAGTATACATTCCGTGGTGTATACTTTCTGCCTTCTAATTAATGTCTTTTAAAGTTATTTAGAAATACCATACTCATTAGACATACAAATGTCTTCCAATATGTAAACATTAAACAGATGCAAAATGTATTACATATCTCATTTAATGTTTACAACAGCTCTTTAAGGAAAGACAAGAAAAGTCCTTCATGTTACCTCATTGCAGACAGCCTGAGCTCCCTTGCTCCTCTCTCCCACCGTTATATTTGCCTGGGAAAACCCCAAACAAGATAAATCCAACTCTTCACCTGTTCTACTTGGGCATCTGGGCAGGGACTGTGGTAGAGATCTATAATCACATCTCAGCCTCCATACATCCACCAACCTGGTGCTGCTTGGAAATTCTGTATTTCCTTGGTTCAAAGTGGGCTTTTACTGGGTTACAGGACTGCTGAGAGTATTGATTCATGTGGGCCTTGGGGTGGCTGCCCAGAATCTTAATGTGTCTTCAGCAACTTTGCTCATTTTTGCTCATTTTTCATGTTTTTATGTCTCCCATGGTATACTTATATTGATGTATTAAAAACCATACTCTAGCCAGGCACAGTGGCTCATGCCTATAATCCCAGTACTTTGGGAAGCTGAGGCGGGTGGATCACCTGAGGTCAGGAGTTTGAGACCAGCCTAACCACCATAGTGAAACCTCGTCTCTACTAAAAATACGAAAAATTAGCTGGGCATGATGGCGGTCGCCTGTACTCCCAGCTACTAGGGAGGCTAAGGCAGGAGAAGTGCTTGAACCCAGGAGGTGGAGGTTGCAGTGAACCAAGATCATGCCATTGCACTCCAGCATGGGCAACCAAAGTGAAACTCTGTCTTAAAAAAAACAAAAACACCATATGCTTGACTCCTTCCTTTTCTTCTTTTTATTCCTACCTGCACTTTTGAGGATGTATATTGTCAGTTTTAAATCTGAGGACTACTTTTGATGTTCAATTGAATCTTACTTGTTTAGGAAAGTCAGAAAATGGGACCGCCACAGTTATGAGTCTGAGTCCTGTATAGTCCTCTACCTTGACTTAGATTACCTATCAGAGAAGAAGAGGCAGTTTTTGTTTTCACCAAAAAGACTGAAGTTTTTTCTGTATGTGATGATTAGGTGATGTAGGGAAAAAATGATACCCAGAATACATCATGTGAAATGACTTTTTTTTTTTTTTTGAGACGGAGTCTTGTTCTGTCACCAGTCTGGAGTGCAGTGGCACGATCTCAGCTCACTGAAACCTGCAACTCCCTGGTTCAAGTGATTCTCCTGCCTCAGCCTCTGGAGTAGCTGGGATTACAGGCATGCGCCACCATGCCCAGCTAGTTTTTGTATTTTTAGTAGAGACGCAATTTACCATGTTGACTAGGATGGTCTTGATCTCCTGACCTTGTGATCCACCCACCTCGACCTTCAAGAGTGCTGGGATAGCAGGTGTGAGCCGCTGCGCCCAGCCAACTTTTTTTCTTCTAGTAGTTTACATTTTCAATTCAATAAATACTAATTTAACACCCACTGTGTACTTATAACCAGAGTAACAAAAAGACAGCTAGGTCCCTTCTTGTAACAAACTTGTGTTGTCTCATAAAAGGCATTAAAAAACCAAATTTGTTTCTAGGATGTTCCAGTGGAATACTTCTTTGTGAAATGCAATGGATCACTCATTAACACCAGTGACACAGTGCAGCATGGAGCCGTGTATAGCTTGGAACCCAGACTTTTCGGTGGAAAAGGAGGTAGGATGTGGACATTAACTACTCAGTTGTAGCACATTTACAGTCTGTATTTTTATTTATTTATTTATTTTCCTATTCTGCTGCTGACATTTGCTGTCTTTAGCTATGGTACTTAATTAACAAACTTCTTGGTCTCTTTAGTATGCCAATATTGTTTTGCCTTATGAATTCTTTTATTTACTTAACCTAATTTTGGATATTTTCTCTTTTATTCTGATTTCTTTTTTTTTCTTTTTGAGACACCATCTTGTTCTGTCACCCAGGCTGGAGTACAGTGGTGCGATCACGGCTCACTGCATCCTTGAACTCCTGACCTCAAGCAATACTCCTACCTCAGTTTCCCTAGTAGCTGGGATTACAGGTGCACACCACCATGCCCAGCTAACTTTTGTATTCTTTGTAGAGATGGGGTTTTTCCATGTTGCCCAGGCTTTTGTTCTTGTCGAAAGAAATATTGTATGTTACAATTCGCACTTTCTCCAGCTGGATAGCTCTTAGGGAACCTAGGCTCTACAACTTTGGAGAAAAATTAGATGAAGAGAGATGGCCATTATTCTGTTCAATTTGCTGAATGAAGAAGTTTTTTTTCTTTTAAATCTCCTTCCACTTTAATCAAGATTTTGTCTTGTTATTGTAGTTCTAAAGGAAGTTTAAAGTTAACCTTAGGAAACACAATTGTTTACAGGTTGAGGCAGATTAGAGTTTTGGTTGTATTAATTACAACTACGAAGAAGAAAAAAAAGAGTGAAATAATATAAACAGTTCTTGGTATTTTTCCTAAGGCACTAACATGTGATCCCTAAGCTTTCTCAAAATCTACAGTGACTTGGTTTGGTTTTCAGAGCACTGACATATCAGACTATATCCAGCTGTTGGAAATTGTATCATTAAGAATGAAGCATGGGCTGGGTGCAGTGGTTCACACCTGTAATCCCAGCACTTTGGGAGGCCAAGGCAGGTGGATCACCTGGGTCAGGAGTTGGAGAGCAGCCTGGCCAATGTGGTGAAAACCCGTCTCTACTAAAGATACAAAAATTAGCCAGGTGTGCTGTTGCATGCCTGTAATCTCAGCTGCTCAGAGGCTGAGACATGAGAATCACTTGAACCCAAGAGGTAGAGGTTACAGTGAGCTGAGATTGTGCCACTGCACTATAGCCTGGGCAACACGGTGAAACTATCTCAAAAAAAGAAGAATGAAGTAAGTGGCCAGGCATGGTGGCTCATGTCTGTAATCCCAACACTTTGAGAATCCAAGGTAGGAGGATTATTTGAACCCAGGAGTTTGAAAACAGCTTGGGCAAGATGGTAAGATCTTGGTCTCTACCAAAAAAAAAAAAAGTGCATTAGCACATACCTGTAATCCTAGCAACTTGGGAGGCCGAGGAGCCATTGAGCCCAGGATTTCAAGGCTGCAGTGAGTTTGATTACATCAAGGTATTGCACTCCAGCCTAGGTGACAGAGCAAGACCCCATCTCTTGCGGGGGGAGGGGGGAGAATGAAGCATGTCGCATCAGTCAGTGAGAGCTTAAAAATTGTCTTTCCTTTTAAACTCATTGAAATCTCAGTATATACTTTTTAAGTTCTTAATCTGGGAATCTGGGGTTTCTGTCATTGGGTGAAGCTTTTTAAATAATCTAGCCGTATAGGTATTATACCTGTATGCAAATAACTAACACAAGGATAAATAATTAGGTTTGGGGAGGGCTAGGTATTTTATCTCAGAACTATGAAATGAAAGGCAAAAGGCATTAGGTTGAATCAGTCTTTTTACTTTTGCTGTCTGAATTAGAATCTTGATGTTCATCTTTTCTTAAAAAAAAGAGAGATCATTGTTAACCTTGTAATACAGATTGTTTTCACAAATTCGGCTTGTATTCATCCTTGAACACATTTTAACCTGCTTTCTCCAAATACATCTGCTCAGGTTTTGGATCTATGCTCCGAGCACTTGGTGCTCAAATTGAGAAGACAACCAATCGAGAAGCTTGCCGGGATCTCAGTGGAAGGAGACTACGCGATGTCAATCATGAAAAAGCGTAAGATGCCCACCTTTTTTTTTTTTTGTTTTGAAGAGCGACACATACCTTCCTATCGATAGTGATTATACACATGCCACACGTATTGGCAATGGAAACTTAAAATACTTACATCTGAATTTATTATCAGATTTAACCTCTTCCGTAATTTAATAATTATCTTTGAGATTTAGTTCAAAACAGTAGTAAGCATGGCTCACTTTCCTGAGAGAATATCCCAATATGAACAAGTGCATTAATTCATCAAGGACATTTTATGTATAAAAGCATTTATGTAATATATCTGTTCAGTAACATCTCTTCCTCCCTCATCCCCAGAATGGCTGAATGGGTAAAACAACAAGCTGAGCGAGAGGCTGAAAAGGAGCAGAGGCGGCTGGAGCGACTGCAACGGAAGCTTGTAGAACCCAAACACTGCTTTACCAGCCCTGACTACCAGCAGCAGTGCCATGAGATGGCTGAGCGTCTGGAGGATTCCGTCCTCAAAGGTGAGAATGAGGATTCCTTAGTATGTTCAGCTGGCACCCTTGAAGCCAGCTGTTCCAAACTGCTCTATGCAACACACGAAGAGCAGTTTTTAAGCTTATTTTAGGTTACAGATGTCTGAGAATCTGATGAAAACTTTGGAACTTTTATCCCTTTAAATGAACACAGTATGTTTTTTAAAAAGAACATATACCCACACAACATTTGGCATATTTAACCCCTGAATTCCATGGAGCCATGGGCCCCAGGTAAGAACATTTTTTTGTGTTTGTGTTTAGGGATAAGCTAAGTCTTCAGAAGATGTCTAAACCTCAAAGAATTTGCTGCCAGTTTTAGGTCAGTTTTTAATGTGAATGATTCTCATTAACTTTTGTTTTTAGCATCCAAAGCATTATGGCAGGCCTAGTATGGGAACAGTTCAATAAGAAACAATCTTTTTCCGTCAGAACGGGTATGATATGACAGGAAAAAGACAAGTGTATGCAAATAACTGACACAGGGATAAATAATTAGGTTTGGGGAGGGCTAGGGATGAACCTGTCATCCTCAAAGTTACAAATTGTGCAATGATGCTTTAAGAATCTACTCCTAGACCAGAATGATTATTATTTTAAATCTGTGTAAATTTGAAATTAATTGTATAAAATGTTGGTATCTTAAGAAATTTAATATGGAGTTGTAGATCACAGCTCTTTTTGCAATCCATGTTATTTATAATTTCCTTAAACTCAGTCTCTATAGTAGAAACTGGATTGTTAAAATTTCTGGTTAGGTATGCAGGCTGCCTCCAGCAAGATGGTTTCAGCAGAAGTCAGTGAGAGTCGGAAACGGCAAAGGCCTACCAGATCTAAAACAGACAGAGGAGCCGGCATGGGGAAGAAGAGATGCTTCTGGTAAGTGTTTCACTTTTGTTCCCAACTGATTTTTGAGGACTGACATGAGACATTTCCTCCTTGTTTATCTGCCATAAACACATTTTTATGTAATGTTTATTGGGAGCTCAGAAAATTTCCAGAGTGCTTCAGGCTTAAGCTATCTTCCCACCTCCTTCTGAGTAGCTGGGACTAGGGTGCATGCCACCATACCTAGATAATTTTTTTGTATTTTTTTGTGGAGATGGGGTTTTGCCATGTTGCCCAGACTGGTCTCAAACTCCTGACTTCAAGTAATCCACCCTCCTCAGCCTCTCAAAGTGCTGGGATTACAGGCATGAGCCACCGTCTCTGGCCCAAGCATAGGATTTATAAAAATATGTGTATGTATGTGTGTGTGTGTGTGTGTGTGTGTGTGTGTGTGTGTGTGTATTTATATTATTGGGCAGTACCTCATTCTATAAAACAGAATAATTGTTCCTAGGATTTTCTTTATATATTTTTTTCACCAATCAAGGCAAGGAGCAGCACCAGAGAATTTTTTTTTTTTTTTGAGATGAAGTCTTGCTCTCATCACCCAGGCTGGAGTGAGTGCAATGGTTCTATCGGCTCACTGCAACCTCCACTTCCTGGGTTCAAGTGATCCTTCTGCCTCAGCCTCCTGAGTAGCTGGGATTAGGGATGCCTGCCACCATGCCCAGCTAATTTTTGTATTTTTAGTAGAGAGGGGGTTTTACCATGTTGGCCAGGTTGGTATCAAACTTCTGATACCAACCTGATACCAACTCAGGTGATCCTCCTGCCTCAGCCTCCCAAAGTGCTGGGATTACAGGTATTGAGCCACTGCTGTGCTCGGCCTTTCTTTTTTTTTTTTGAGATGGAGTCTTGTTCTTTCGCCCAGGCTGGAGTGTAATGGCGTGATCTCGGCTTACTGCAACCTCCACCTCCCAGGTTTCAGCCATTCTCCTGCCTCAGCACCCAAGTATCTGGGACTACAGGTGCATACCACCATGCCCAGCTAAGTTTTGTATTTTTAGTAGAGAGAGGGTTTCACCATGTTGGGTAGGCTAGTCTGAAACTCCTAACCTCAAGTGATTTGCCCACTTCGGCCTCCGAAAGTGCTGGGATTAGAGGCATGAACCACCGCACCTGTCTGGATTTTCTTTATAACTATTATTCTATCTAATTTCCAACCATCAAAGTTAATGTAATATAGTGGGGGAAAGCTTTAAGCAAAATCAATTTTGCTTTCAGAGATTCAGAACTTTAGAAAGGAGATTCTTGTAGATCTTTGGGACAGTTGGGTCTAGTCTCATTGAAATTTTTTTCCCTTCTGGTTATAAGCTCTGGAATATCTTTTTCTGAAATATACCTGTTCTCCATCTCAAGCTAGCAGAGACAGATTCTGTTTCCTGGCCAAACTGTAACTCTTTGCTTTAAATAGACGATATAAATGCTGTTAAACCTTTCTGCTGTTTCTGACAGGTTGGGCATGGAGGGACTAGAGACTGTAGAAGGGTCCAGCTCAGAGAGCTCAGATGATGACAGTGAAGAAGCACTGAGCACTTCAAGAATCAGTTTCCATGCTCCCAAACATGGCAGCGATGGTGTGAAGATGACAGCCAAATTTCCCAGTAGTTCTCAGAGGGCAAGAGTAGTGAATACTGACCCTGACTCACCAGAACAACTGCAGATCGCAGTGACTGACTCTGGGCGGCATATTTCAAAAGACTCATGTGCTGAGCTGGGGGAGTCCAAAGAGCACATGGAAAGCAGGATGGTGACAGAAACAGAAGAGACCCAGGAGAATAAGGCAGAGAGTAAAGAATCCATAGAAGAGGAATCCACTGGGGCTGGACTGAATAAGGAGAAAGAGACAAAAGAAGGGACTGATGAGGAAAGAGTTGCTGAGGTAGCACTTGAAGTTAAGGAAAACATTGCCGTTGCCAAACTGCAGGAGAGCCAGCCCGGAGACACAGTAAGTTTGGGGTTGATTTCTAGAACTAAATCAATTTAATCTCCACAATAAGTCATTAAAATGAAAATGAGCTTTTCCCCCTCAGCTGTTTAGTAAAAGGCTTGTTTGATTTTAAGGACAGATTATGGTGAAGCTTGTCTTGTTCCTCAAAAACTTTTTAAGCGCTGGAATTTATACTATATTGCCACTAGGTGGTGTCCTTGATTTCATATTGCATCAATTGTAAGAGGCATGTTTTCTACATTTTAGCATGTCTAAAATGAGATGTGTATAACATAGCTAAATTGGTATTACTTATTCCTAGTAACACATGAACAAGGGTATATTAAGATACATGGCATTTTAGATTTGATGAATGTGCTCATTTTTCCTGTCACTAAATTGCTACTCAGCTTTTTGTTTCTAATGTGAGGATACAGTTTGAACAATAATTTCAGCTGACTGTGAAGACCTTTTCTATAGATGAGGAGCCTCTCCTTTTAAATTTATCATTAAATCTTAAGTACCCACAGTCAGCCTTTTAAAAAAGACATCTTCATCTGGTTGTGGTGGCTCACGCCTGTAATCCTAGCACTTTGGGAGGCTGAAGTGGGCAGATCACTTGAGGTCAGGAGCTTGAGACCAGCCTGGCCAGCAGGGTGAAACCCCGTCTCTACGAAACATACAAAAAATTAGCTGGGCACAGTGGCGTGTGCCTGTAATCCCAGCTGCTCAGGAGGCTGAGACAGGAGAATTGCCTGAACCCAGGAGGCAGAGATTACGGTGAGCCAATATCGCGCCATTGCACTCCAGCCTGGGTAACAAGAGCAAAACTCTGTCTCAAAAAAAAAAAAATACAAAAAACAAACAAAATTAGCCAGGTGTTGTGGTGCATGCCTATAATCCTAGCTACTCAGGAGGCAGAGGCACAAGAATCGCTTGTACCCTGAGAGGCAGAGGTTGCAGTGAGGTGAGATTGCACCACTGCACTCCAGCCTGGGTAACAGAGAGAGGCTGTCTCAAAAAACGATAATAAAATAAAAACCACATTTTCATAGTACATTCTCTCAAAACGTTGGTTTTTCACTATCTATAGTGGACTGGCTTTCAGCAAAAATCTCTGATGTTCTTTGATCTAATGATTTGCTTTTTAGAATAGGCAAAACCTAAACTACTTAATTGCCTTCAGTAAACACAAAACCTAACATTTGTTAAGCCAGCACCTTCTCCTCTCCCAGTAAATAAGCAAAAATGCATAGATTGCCCTTTCTGGTGAGAATATTGGAATCTTTAATGCTAAGGGCCTAAACCTAAACTACTTAATTACCTCAATAAACACAAAACATTTGTTTAGCCAGCACCTTCCCCTCCCCCAGTAAATAAGTAAAGATGCATGGATGCGTTTTCTGGTGAGAATATTGGAATCTTTTATGCTAAGGACCTTAATTTCATTGGAATCTTTTATGCTGAGGTCCTTAATTTGAGCCTAATACAGTCTCTGGAGTTGTAAGCTTGTAATTTTTATGTTACGTGCATTTATTCGGTAAGAGCTTTATCCTGACTGAAGTCATAGAAAAATAAACAAGGAATCATAGGATAAAACCTGATATTTTTCAGTGTTAACCAGAGTTTTGTTCTTGATGTTGTAGTAATAGCTGTTGTATTCATAACAACCAGGTGTGATTCTTTAAACACATAAGTGGTGTTTTAGAATTTGGTCACAAATAAGCCAATGTTAACTCCAGAAATCTAACAAAACAGCTTTTTTAAGAAAAGAAAGATCACCTAGAGAGATAGAGTGTTGCTCCAGAGTTCTTTAATATTTTAAAACTGTGAAAGTAAGTTATTCTTTGAATATATTTTTAAAAACTCACCTAAAGATGAACATTTTCATTCTTTTCAAGGTATCATTAACAGGATTTTTAATTTTCTCTTTTTTTTTCCGAAGACAAGAGTCTTACTCTGTCGCCCAGGCTGGAGTGCAGTGGCGTGATTTCTGCATACTGCAACCTCCACCTCCCAGGTTCAAGCAATTCTCCTGCCTCAGTCTCCTGAGTAGCTGAGACTATAGGCACGCACCACCACACCTGGCTAATTTTTGTATTTTTATTAGAGATGGAGTTTCACCATGTTGACCAGGCTGGTTTTGAACTCCTAACCTCAAGTGTTGCACCTGCCTTGGCCTCCCAAAGTGATGGGATTACAGGCTAATTTTGTCTTAAAGTCTGTAAAGGTACTTCGTAGGTAGAACAGCTGCGAATCTATTGAACAGTATTTGAATTTGTTGAGGTATATAAGGGGGAACTCTGACAATTAGTCTTAATTACTTAATTAGAATAGAAAGCATTAAGATTATGGAATTAATAGACAGAAGCATGGGATTCTCATTAAGCTTTTAGGAGTGCCTGATCTTTTCTGTGGGAATAGGCTGGTATATTTTACTGTTTAGATTTTTACTGGAAAAATCAGAAAAGAACAGTATTAAAAATTTGGGAATTCTGTACTTCTGTTATTGTTCTGAATGCTCGTTTCTAAATGAGTATATGAAAAATTATATGTATTGAGAATACTTACGGAATAAAGTGGATGAATGATGATTAAAATTCAGTTGCAAGATATGGCAAATTAAGTGAAAATTTCTAAAGAAATAAAATGTGGTTGACAGTTAAGAGTCTTTATTCAGACGAAAGAGCTTGTTTTAAATATTTTATTTTTTTCCCTCAGGTTATTGGTAAGGAAACTATAGATTTATTGGCGTACAACTCTGTTGCAGAACTGGAGTTGCTGGGTTTGGAGAAGCTCAAGTGTGAACTGATGTCCCTCGGACTGAAATGTGGGGGCACTTTACAGGAGCGGGCAGCAAGACTCTTCTCTGTCAGAGGACTGGCAAAGGAGCAAATTGACCCGGCTTTATTTGCCAAGCCTTCGAAAGGGAAGAAGAAATGAATGTCATCAGAGCTGATTCCTGTTTCTCTATAGTGTCTAGCATTTATAACCTGTATAATGTGGACTCTTGACGAGTATTCCTGTTGATACTAAAAACTAACTTTTTAGTAACCCAATTCTAACTATCCCCTTTTTCCTTGTTAGGTCTGTAGAATTAATGTCTGAAACCATCTGGGCCTTACATTTTCTTTGTATGGTTTTCTGTAATGTATTTAATAAATATAGGGCTATTCAGATTTTTTGGTTTGATCTTGTGTCATTTAGGTAATGAATCTATCCAAGGAATCTATCCATTTGACCCAGGTTATGAAATTTGTAGAAATAAAGTTAAATTGAAAAGAAATAAAATTTCTTTTCTTCATTATATTCTTTCTTCTACTTAGCTTGGGTTTCTTTTGATCTTTTTTCTTTAGTTCCTTAAGATAAGCCTTAGGTCATTGATCTTGGACATTATGTAAAATATATATTTAAAGCTATAAATTTTCCTTTAAGCATTACTTTAGTTGCATCTTTACAATTTTATTATATTGCATTTAAATTATTCAGTTCTAATTATTTTCTTTTTTTTTTTTTTTCTCTGAGACGGAATTTTGCTTTTGTCGCCCAGGCTGGAGTGCAACGGTACAATCTTGGCCCTATGCAGCCTCTGCCTCCTGGGTTCAAGTGATTCTCCTGCCTCAGCCTCCTGAGTAGCTGGCACTAGAGGCACCGGCCACCATGCCTGGCTAATTTTTCTATTTTTAGTAGAGATGGGGTTTCACCACATTGGCCAGGCTGGTCTCAAACTCCTGACCTCAGGTAATCCACCCGCCTCTGCCTCCCAAAGTGCTGGGATTACAGGCATGAGCCACCACACCCAGCCTCTAATTATTTTCTCATTTCCTCCATGAATTCTTCTTTGATCCACGGATTATCAGAAGTAGACTAATTAGCAAATAATTTGGTTTTTTTCCTCTTAGTATCTTGTTGCTAATTTCTGCTTTAATTCCAATGAGGTCAGTATCCTCTTTATGATTTTAGTCCTTTAGTTTTATTGAGACTTGTTTTATGATGAATGTTGTCTGTCATGATGAATGTACCACACACAGTTTAAAAGAATGTGTATTTTAGGCCATGTGTGGTGGCTCATGCCTGTAATCCAGTATTTTGGGAGGCTGAGGTGGGAGGATCATTTCAAGACCAGCCTGGACAACACATAGCGCGACCACACCTCTAAAAATAGGAATATGTAATGTGAATTGTTGGGTGAATATGTTCTGTGATACGGATTAGATTAAGTGGTTGATAGTATGGTTCAGATCTTCTACATCTTTACTGATTTGTTTAGCAGGTGCTGAGAAAGGATGTTAAAATTTTCAATTATGATTGTGGGATTGTCCGTTTTTTTCTTTAATTCTGCCAGTTTTTACTTCATTTTTTGAAGCTCTAATAACTTCTGTCTTCCCAATGTATTGACCATTTTATCATTATGAAATTTCCCTCTGGCACGCAGCCTTCTTAAGCCTGGTGTTTGCACAGTACACCTCTTTCTGTTCATTTACTTGGCACTTCTGTGTCTAAAGTAGTTTCTTTAAATAACGTATACTTGAGTCTTGCATTTGATATATTCTGTCTCTACCTTTTAATAAGTGTTAACATTAAATTGTTTGTAATATTTTACATGTTTTCGCTTTAGCTTAGGAGATTCTTTAGCTATACTGTTTTTATAATTGTTTTAAGTTGGATGCTCTAGGAATTACAGTATGCATTCTTAATTTTTCAGTCTACCTGGAGTTGATGTGCCACTTCACATAAAATGTAGAAATCTTGTAACTGTGTACCTCCATTTACCATCCCTGCTTTTTATGCTGTAATTGTCATACCTATTAAATCTACATACGTTGTAAGCCCTGTCATAATTTCTGCTTTAAATAATATGTATTTTAAAGAAATTAAGAGGAAAAATAAAATCTTTTCTATTTATTCACATGTTTACCATTTTTAATATTTTTCATTTCTTCTTGAAGATCTAATATTTCCCTTAAGCCTGAAGAACTTTCTGTAGCATTTTTTATAGTACGAATCTCCTAGCAACAAATTACTAGTTTTCTCTTTTTTTTAAAAATTTTTTTGACTGAGTGCAGTGACTCAGGCCTGTAATCCCAGCATTCTGGGAGGCCATGGTGGGTGGATCATTTGAGGTCAAGAGTTCAAGACCAGCCTGGCCAGTATGATGGAACCTTGTCTCTACTAAAAATACAAAAAAAAAAAAAAAAACCAGGCGTGGCAGTGTGTGCCTGTAATACCAGTTACTCAGGAGGCTTAGGCACTAAAATCACTTGAACCCAGGAGGCGGAGGTTTCAGTGAGTGAAGATTGCACTGCTGCACTCCAGCCTGGGTGTCAGAGTGAGACCCTGTCTCACAAAAATAAAAAATAGAATCTCTTTATAGATCTTGTCCACTGTCTACTGGCCTTCATTGTTTCTGATGATGAGTCATTGGATATTGAAATAGTTGTTCCCTTTATAGAATGTGTCTTTCTCTTTGGCAGCTTTCAGGTGTGCCTGGATGTGGTTTTCTGTGTATTTATCTTGGAGTTTGATGAACCTCTGCTCTGTAAATTTATACCATTTAATCAAATATGGGAAAACGTCAGCCATTATTTCTTCAGATCATTTTCCTGACTCATGTTTTCTCTTCTCTCTTGGGACTTCAATTATAAATATACTAAGCCTCTGTCTCAGTCTCTGAGTCTTCCCCCCCAACACTTCTCTGTTCTTCAGATGATTTCTGTCATATAGGTAAGTTGATAGAGAGTCTTCAAGCCAAAGCTGCCTGTTGGACGAGTTAGCACCTTGCCAGAATGGGCTTATCTTGGTACCTGCACTGTGCTCTTTGGCAATAAAGACTCCCCAGAAAGCGTGGCCCGAGTGGGAACCTGATGACTCCAGAGCATCACTGAGTGATGCTCCCCAGAGCAGGAGATCTGAGAGGCATATTTTCATGGCTGCCACAGGATGTTCTGTTGCTTAGGGAGGATTATTTTTCTAGTTTGGGTAGTTGGAAACAGTTTTCTTTGAATTATGTGGGTGCCTGTTCAGATCTTTAAAAGCACACTCAAAGGGAGAAGGGAAACACAGATTTAGTGAAGGTTTACTTTATAGAGGTTCATCTTTGGGAGACTCAGGCAGCCATGCCCAAATAATTTTTTTTTTTTTTGGTGGCAGCATGAAGCTGGCTGGGCCAGTGCCCCTTTCCTAATTGGCCTGGTTATCCTCTTCAGGTTGCCAGAGCTCTAGCCGGGCCCTGCTTTATTTAGCATGGGAGTGTGAGCAGACTGCCCTGCTCCCTGCAGGCAAGGGACTGGCAAAATGAAAAGACTGTAGAATTCTGTAATTGCCCCTCTCTTACAGCATTAAAGGCTAGAAGTAAGGAGGCTCCCGATGAGCAGAAACTGACCATCTTGGCAGTCTCGTAGGTGGCTGTAGTTCTTCCAGCCCTCACTGATCTGCGTGTGGGTTTGTTAATGGGCTTTTGCTGTGGGTCTATTTCACTCACCCACACATTTTGATTTGGAGATTGCTACCTTCCTCCTTCCTCTTCTAGTGCTTATACCACAAGCTTCCTCACATTCCTTTCATCAGTTCAAATGGGAGTTTTCAAGAGGGAATTAAACAAATATGCTCAGATTACCATCTTGAGCCAGCACCTGTTAGTGATTTTCAAGGTTAAAGGTACCCCTCAGAAAGTCTAGAAACAGCAGGTGTTAATTCTAGGTTGCTTCTGATCAAAATCATAAAAGTGTTGACTTAAACTTCATGGCCTTATTTGTGTACCTGAACTAGAATACAGGAAAGGAAATTATGGACTCCAGGTGGCCCTGTGTTACCCACACTGTTACTGTAAGCCACCTGCCTATTGGCCTATTTCTAGGCGGGATCTCAGATTCAGTCAGTGTCAGTGTAAATCTCTGGTGTATTTGGTACTACTTTTTCTTTGCTTTTTTGGGGGGGGCAGGGAGGACGGAGTTTCACTCTTATTGCCCAGGCTGGAGTGCAGTGGCACAGTCTCACCTCACCATAGCCTCTGCCTCCCGGATTCAAGCGATTCTCCTGCTCAGCCTCCCGAGTAGCTGGGATTACAAGCATGCGCCACCATGCCCAGCTAATTTTGTATTTTTAGTAGAGACGGGGTTTCTCCACGTTGGTCAGGCTAGTCTCGAACTCCTGACTTCCAGTGATCTGCCTGCCTCAGCCTCCCAAAGTGCTGGGATTACAGACGTGAGCCACTGTGCCCAGCTACTTTTTCTTTGCATTCACCTTCATGAGATTTCCTTTGAGAAAAATAACTTAATGATGCTCTATAAAGTAAGCTACACTCCGACTATTCCTAGGTCATTGATTCAGGGTTGTCCCCACACAGTACTAATGAGCTGAAGGAAAGAATGTGCATGGTCATACTTAGGTTTTCCCTGGAATACAGGCCACGTGGTGTGGTGGGCTTTAGGGCAAGGGTTTTAGAGTCACGGATCTGGGTTGAAATCCTGATTTTCCTGTTTTCTAATAGTGTTTTCTCAGGCAAGCTCCATAGCCTTTCTGAGCATCAGTTGCCTACTCCTACTATTAAATGGGGTCATACTTACTTCTAGGGTTGTTAGGAGGAAATAAAGTAGTATGTAAGTTTCGTAGCACAGTGCTTAGCAAATTGTAGTTGCTCAGTAAATGGAGGCTGTTGGAATACCCTATAGCACCATTGTCCAATAGAAATGTAATATGAGCCAGATAATGTAATTTTACATTTTCTTTTGGTCATTAAAAAGTACAAAATTAGCCAGGCCTGGTGATATATGCCTATAGTTCCAGCTACCTGGGAGGCTGAGGTGGGAGGATCACTTGAGCCCAGGAGTTGGAGGCTGCAGTGAATTTTTATTTTTATTTTTTGTGATGGGAGTCTCACTCTGCTGCCCAGGCTGGAGTGCAGTGGCACAATCTTGGCTCACTGCAACCTCCTGCTTCAGCCTCCCAAGTAGCTGGGACTACAGGCACGTGCCACCACACCCAGCTAATTTCTGTATTTTTAATAGAGACGGGTTTTCACCATGTTGTCCAGAATGGTCTCCATCTCTTCACCTTGTGATCTACCTGCCTCAGCCTCCCAAAGTGCTGGGATTACAGGCAAGAAAATTATTCATGAGATAGTTTACATTTTTGTGCTCAGTCTGAAATCTGGTGTGTATTTTACACTTAAAGCACTGCTCAATTCACGATGGCTACATTCCAGGTGTTTAATAGCCCTGCATGACTTGCAGCTCCTGCATTAGGCAGTGATGCTCTAGAACACATCTAAGGCAAGGCAGTGAGCACAGCAGAACTGTCCACCTTCATGCAAACACAGAGCTGAATCAAAGCCAAATCAGGCTGGGAAGATTTGGGGCTTTTAGCACGCTCCACCCTTCCCTCAGCCACCCTGGGGATCGAGTGAATGTATGTAAAATGAAGGTTTTACGAGCAGTCAGGTATTATACATGCAAGGCAGAAGTATCTTTCCTGTGGGGACTCCTTACATGCCAAGCTGGCAGAGGTGCAGAAACAAATGTGAGAGCTGTGGACTGAGAGTCCTAATCTTGGCCTTGCTGGTGCAGGGCTGGGTCACTTCATCTGGCAAACTGCAGTATCTGTTTACTTTTATGAATTGAGCTGTGAGGCACAGCTGAAATTTGCATGGGGGTAACTAATAGACTCAAAAGCATCTTGAAGTGAAAAAGTAGTAAGGAATTTGGAGTGTTAGACAAATGCTCAATGAAACAGGAGTGTGATCTTGGGTATTGCACCAGACCCTGGTGCTGGATGCCTTAGTTTACCAAGTAGATCATTTAGTCCAATTTATGGGGTTGTGTAGGAATGGCGATTAGTCTGGCATGTCCCATCTCTCTTTGTTGAAGTTCTGCTAATCTTTTTTTTTTTTTTGAGATGAGGTCTCGCTATGTAGCTCATACTGGAGTGCAGTGGCACAATCACGGCTCACTGCAGCCTCCACTGCTCAGGCTGGGATCACAGGCCTGTGCCAACCTGCCCAGCTAATTTTTAAAGATTATTTGCAGAGACGAGGTCTCACTGTGTTGCCAGATTGGTACTTACCTTTCAAGACAGCTCACAGGTTTCCTCTTCAACTTCGAGCCTCAGTGAAGAAGGAGTGGGCTTGCTGTGGGGTTTATTCTACAGCCCTTCAGTCTCCAAATATTAATTGTGCATGTTTGATTAGTAAAACATTGGGGGTGCGCACCCCACATGATGCCACTCATCTGTCAGAGCCTTCCAACGGCCTCAGAGTGCAAGCCCCTCTCTGACTGCCCGCCTCTCCCCTCTCCGACCTCATCTACTCTGCCTCACTCCACCCAAGCCCCCGTGGCCTCCTTGCAGTTCCCTCCTCCAGGAACAGTCTTTCCCCATATGTCCCCAGGGAATGCTCTCACCTCTCACTCGGTTTAAAATGGCAACCCCCCCACCCCATCACTTTCTTTCCTGACAGTTTTGTGTTTGTTTTTGAGATGGAGTCTCGCTCTGTCACCCAGGCTGGAGTGCAATGGTGAGATCTCAGCTCACCGCAACCTCCGCCTCCTGGGTTCAGGCAATTCTCCTGCCTCAGCCTCCTGAGGAGCTGGGATTACAGGAGCACCCCACCACGCCCAGCTAATTTTTGTTTTTTTGCCACGTTGGTCAGGCTGGTCTTGAAGTCCTGACCACAGGTGATCCACTTGCCTTGGCCTCCCAAAGTGCTGGGATTACAAAGGTGAGCCACTGTGCCCTGACCGTTGTTGTTTTTTAATAGTACTTATTACCCCTTATCATACTCATTTTAAAAAATTAAATGTCCTTCTCCCCTCAGAAAATAAGCTCTGCCAGGGCAGAGAGTTTGTCTGTTTTATTAGTGCCGGGTACCTAAAATGTGCTCTATGAATATCTGTTGAATGAATCCAGTGTACTAAT